TTTGATACTTGCTGTTGGTCCATGACATCTCTGCTGGCCACTGAGCACACATAAATCTAAGTTTAAAACTTGGAGAAATAGCCTGCCTGGCAAACACAACTCATTGTTAAATAATCTAGAGAGATTGCCAGACAAGGGAACCTTATTAAGACAGATAAGGGTGGTAATGTGAGGGTATGACTGGAATAGAGGCATGTGTAATACATTCACCACAAAAACAAAGATCTTATCTTGGAATCTTAGGAAGTCCCCATCTGCAGAATTTGTTCAACGACCCTTGCGTTGGGCTAGGGGTGTAGTTTAGATAACCTAGTCTGTAGAGGCCCTGGGTGTGATAGCAAGTTATGTATGTATAAAACTGTCTAGGAGAGCCAGGCATTGGTGGCACACGCCTTTAATCCCAGCACTGGGGAGGCAGGCCTAGGAGAGCCAGGCATTGGTGGCACATGCCTTTAATCCCAGCACTGGGGAGGCAGAGGCAGGCGGATTTCTATGAGTTCGAGGTCAGCCTGGTCTCCAGTGTGAGTGCCAGAGTGCCAGGATAGGCTCCAGAAACCAAAAACACAGAAACCAAAAACAAAACAAAACAACAACCAAAAATAAACTGCCTAGGAGAGGTGCTCTGGGAGGTGGAGACAGAAGGATCAGAAGTTCAAGAAAGGCCATCCTCTGTTACATAGCAAGTTTGAGGCCAGCCTGGGCTACAGGAGGCCCTGTCCTTTGTGTGTGTGCACCTGTACATGACCTTTTCTGTGCCAGCGAACCATAGCCTGCTGTGACCTCTCAGTTCCCAGAGTCATTCTCTTTGGTGTGTGCTGTTCTTTATCTCTTTGCTGCTTATGGTGATGCTTTTGCATCTGCATTTCGTAGATCCTTTGTGATTCTGCCCTACTTGGTATTATGACAGCTGCTGCTGGAGCTTAATTTAATTCACTTTTATAGAAAATGTACATACAACATTTATTGTGCTTAAAATGTTATTTTAAAAAGTAGAATTTTAGCTAATCATGGTAGAACACACCTGTTGCCTTGCTTAGTGCTTAGGAGGTGGAAGTGGAAGAATTGCTTTTCTTCTTTCTTTCTTTCTTTCTTTCTTTCTTTCTTTTTTTTTTTTTTAAGTTTTTAGTTTTTGAGACAGGGTTTCCCTGTGTCCCTGGGTGTCCTGGAACTCTGTAGACCAGGCTGGCCTCAAACTGAAAGGTATGTGCCAACACTGACAGGCAGAGGATTGCTTTTTAGCCAGCTTGGCTTTAGGACCCTGTCTCAAAAACAAAGGTAAAACAACTACAACAACAAAAGCCAACCAGATTTAAATTTTTTAGGAATAGCCAGGGAGAAATGGACAAATAGTATTGCTGGGTCTGGAGAGATGGCTCAGCAGTTAAGAGCACTGGGTGTACTGCCAGAGGATAGGTTCAATTCCCAGTACCCACATGGTAGCTACAACCATTTGTAAATTCAGTTCTAGGGAATCTGACACCTTCACACAGACATCCATGCAGACAAAACACCATTGCACATATTAAAGAGTTTATTTGCAGTTGAATAATGTCAGTAAAACAGAACAGGTGCTGGTTTATTGCTTACAATGAGGTAAAACTATATACTTACTTGGGGGGAGGGGGCTTTATTTGATTCTTTAAAAAAATTCTGTAGAATTTTGTTTTTAATTTGAGTGTATTGCCTTCGTGCATGTTTCTTTTTATTGTTTGTTGAGACAGGGTATTACTCTGTAGACCTGGGTGGCCTAGAACTCAATGGATGGCCTCCAAATGTTTTTTTTTTTTTTTTTTTTTTTTTTTTTTTTTTTTTTTTTTATTTTATGTACACGGATGTGTGCCTGTGGAGGTCAGAAGAGAACCTCAGATCCCCTGGGACTGGAGTTTCATATGGTTGTGAGCCACCATATAGGTGTTGGGAATGGAACTCAGGTCCTCTGTAAGAGCTGCCAGTGTTCTTAAGCCACTGAGCCGTCCCTCTATCCTGTGATTAAGATTTCCTAGCCTTTTTGCTTCTTTATATATTTTTGATGTGTGTGTGTGTGTGTGGCGGGCTAATGTCGTATTTAAGAGGAGGGGAAATTAAAATCAGTATATAGGAGGTGGTTTTGCACTTTTTTTTCCCTCCAGTGACTAGCAATAGTTTATTTACTTCTGGAGAGTATTATGAATTTGTTTTCTAAGACAGGAATGATGGTACATTTCTGTAATCCTAGCCCTCTGCATGCTAGGGGCCAGACTAAAGACCCAAATAAATAAATAAGCGAGCAAGCTGGCTAGCACGAATATGAAGAGATGGTCAACATCTTTAATCGGTGGGAGCTGAAAATCAAAACTGTAGTAAGATACTGCCTTGTTCTTACTGTAGCTTAAGTGCTGTGCGCTGTTAGGAGTGGGAAAAGGGTCAGTTGCCATTAAATCAGTGTTGCTATAGTACCTCAGGAGTAAAGAGAACAACCAAATGATCTAGTGTTCCCTTGTGGACACACTCATAACAAGAATGAAAAGCAAGCACTTTTTTTTTTTTCTTTTGTTTTTTTCTTTCAAGACAGGGTCTCTATGTAAACCTGGCTGTCCTGGTACTTACTATGTAGACCAAGCTAGCTTCAAACTCTTAAAATCCCCCCTTGAGACCATGCCAGGGTAGAGCAGGTCTTGAAGACATAATTGTTAATCCATGTTTTTAGCAGAATTATTCACAGCAGTCAGGCTGAAGCACCCCAGGGGCTCGTATGTGGGATGTGCATTTCATAGGGTGGAACCCTGGAAACCCTGACGGGAGTGCTCGTCAGTAGATGGAGGGATAAAAACATGTGGGATGTGCATTTCATAGGGTGGAACCCTGGAAACCCTGACGGGAGCTGTGGTGTGGATGATTTGGGCTCATTGTGCCATTGGAAGTAAAGCAGCCACCAAAAGTCACTCTGATTTCCCTGTGAAAGTGTCTAGAAGAGTCACTAATAGAAACAGGAGTTGCTAGGGCTCTTGGAGGAAAGGAAGAAAAGGATAGTTACTTAACAGATAGGGAAAACTCTGGACCTTGGTTGTACAACTGTGAATGTAGTCAACATAACTTCACGGCACATATACAAATGGTAAGAGAAAGCCAGGTGTAGTGGAGCATGCTTTTAATCCCAGCACTTGGAGGCAGAGACAGGCAGATCTCTGAGTTCAAGGACAGCCTGGTCTATATTGTGAATTCCAGGATAGATAGGGCAAGATAAACTCTGTCTCAAAACTCCCAAAATATGAGAAATAAAATAGAAATGATCAAGATGAGAAATTTTCCTTTGTATTTTATACAACTGAAGTTTTTTGATTTTTCAAGACAGGGTTTCTCTGTGTTCTTGGGTTAAAGGCATGTGCCACCACCGCCCGGCTACAACTAAAAAGTTATTTTTTTTTAAGACTTAATTATTTATTATACATACAGTGTTCTGCCTGTCTGTATGCCTGCAGGCCAGAAGGCACCAGATCTCACTATAGATGGTTGTGAGCCACCATGTGGTTGCTGGGAACTCAGGACCTCTAGAAGAGCAGTTAGTGCTCTTAACCTCTGAGCCATCTCTCTAGCCCCACAACTGAAGTTTTTAAAGACTGGAGAGATGGGTTGGTGCTTAAGACCACTGACTGCTCTTTCCAGGACCTGGTTTAATTCCCAGGGAATCCTACACCTTCTGCCTTCCTGGGGCACCAGGCAAACACATGGCATACAGACATACATTTAAGCAAAACACCTATGCTCATAAAATGAAAATTAGAAAACAGTTATTTAGAAAGCAGAGAAAGCTAGATTCTCAACTTCGTAGCATTACTGACATTCAACTGAAGTTTCAGCCTATGTATGTATTCTTTTTCAAATCAGAAATCTTTTATTCTTGTTCTTTCCCCTTTGCTCCTGTCTCCTCCCTCTTCTCTCTCCTCTCTTTCCTTTCCTCCTTTACTTTTTTTATAATTTATTTTTTGGTTTTTCCAGATGTTTTTCTTTGTAGCTTTGGAGGCTGTCCTGGAACTCACTCTGGAGACCAGGCTGGCCTCGAACTCACAGAGATCTGCTTGCCTCTGCCTCCCAAGTGCTGGGATTAAAGGTATGCACCGCCATTGCCTGGCCTTCCTCCTCCATTTTTGGAATGGAATTTAGACTTAGCCCTGGCTAAGCTGGAACTCTATGCAGACATATCTATAGCCACAAGGCTAGTTTGTCTTGGGGGTGTTTTGGGTAGTGTCAAGACTCGTGCCAAGATCTCGTACATACTAGATAAACTCACTCTAGTCCTACTTGTAACCATAAAGACCTAAATTCTACCTAAATCTTTTATCAGTCTTTTTGTTAGTGGTTCTCCTCCCATGTGACATTCAGGCACAATTTATTCCCCGTTTTCTCAGCCTACATATCCTATGAGTTAATGTTTAGATCATTTGGTCTTTGGAACAAGAGAGAAAGCTGGGCATTGTTGGTACACGCCTTTAATCCCAGCATTTGGGAGGCACTGTGTGACCCTGGCTATCTTCAGAGTGAGCTGCCTGCTGAGCTCTGGGATTGAAGTTGAGCACCATCATCTGGTGGTGGTGCATACCTTTAAACCCAGAATTTGGGAGGCAGAGACCTGAGGATCTCTCTGAGGGGGCCAGTCTGGTCTACAGAGTGAGTTCCAGGAGGAGTCAGGGCTACACAGAGAAACTCTGCCTAAAAGAAAACAAAACAAAACAGAGTTAAATACCAGCGTGCCTTGTTTATCTGTTAGTAAATTCTTTTTGAAGCTATGCATACAGTTAGAGACTAGACCCTTGATTGGGGAAAGACCTTTCCTGTCTATATGAAGACGCACATATTTATAAAATATCTGGTGTTTGAGAATTTGTAAACGTGAAGAATACTCTTTAAACTGTAGCCACCCACTGGTTCACTTCTGTAGGGCAACTAACTGACCAAGCATCATGTGACTGCAGTAGTTGCTATTTCTGTAGCATTTTAACTGGTTTTTTATTTTTTTCCCTTAGCTGATTATGGAAGATTCCCACAAGAGTAATACTCCAGAGACTGTGCCTCAGCCTGGCTCAACAGTTCAGGGGACTCATATTTCTCAGATAGCTCATCAGGTAAGTCAAGAATAGAGTACTTACTGAGCTGGTCAGTAGTGTTCACAAATTAACCTGTTGTCTTACTACCAATGTTTAGAAAACCCAGCACAGAGAGACTTTGAATTAATGCTGTTAAGCAGGAAGAAGGAGGGGTAAATGAACCTTTAGAAAGACACCCCCTCTTTTTTTTACATTTTTTGGGGGAAAGTGCAAGCTGACCAAAAAACTGACTGTATAGACCAGGCTGGCCTCAAACTCAGAGATCTTCCCTTCTCTCTCTGTGCTAGAATTAAAGGTATGCACTGTTGTGCCCATAAGCCAAAGCTCCTACAGCCAGAAACAAAGCAGAACTTGCCTGGGTAAAACAGAAACCTGACAAACACAGAACATTTACCTGCCTGGCTGGAGACTTACACCTTCAGGGGTCTGTGGTCCTGGGATCTTGCCCCCAGATGTTATGGCCCAGTGGCAAAAATCCCCAAAGACCATGATGGAGACAGACCCATTGAACTGCAAAAGCAAGGTTTATTGTTCATCTAACCATGACATGGACCCTGTGTGGTTAGCTGACATAGCAGCCACCAGAGGAAGTGAAGTTCCCTGTCTACTGCTAGGTTTTAAAGACAAAAGTCACAGGATTACATCAGTAGGTACGGGTTGGTTTCTGATTGGTTGACATTTGGGAACAATGAGGACATTTAGGTAATTTCTCAAAGTCATATTTTGGCATGAAATACCTGTGTACCAATTATTCTCATTGGCCAGTGCTGAGAGGGAACATTCTGTGGTTTTTATGGCTTTGTTACTTGCAGGTAGGTAGCCTGTTGTACATAGATACCAATAGTTTTCAGAATTGTATCCTGGAGACTACATGGAAGTTTCTGGTCTCCCCTGGATTTTCTTTTGTGGCCAAACTAGGAGGCTGGGGGGCCGGGGGTCTGCAGTTTCTTTGTGTTCAGGTTTGGCCCTAGGCTCTGGGAGGCCAGGGGATCTGGAGTTTTTTTGTGTCATATGCTGAGTCAGAAGCCTACTTGTCTTTTCTGTAGCCCATCATGGCTGCTAAAGCAGGGGGCTGAGTGAGGGTCTGGTACCTTCATGCACGTTATACCTAACATGGCCTGGAATTTTTTTTAAATTTATTTTTATTTTATGTATATTAGTGTTTTGCATGTATGTCTGTGTGAGGGTATCAGATGTGAGGGTATCAGATGTTGGAGTTACAGACAATTGTGAGCTGCCATGTGGGTACTGAGAATTGAACCCAGGTCCTCTGGAAAAGCAATCAGTGCTCTTAACCACTGAGCCATCTCTCCAGCCCGGCCTGGAATTCTTGATCATCCTTTCTAGCCTAGTACCGAGCACTAACGCTATGGTACTGGAATAATAGGCATGTGCCCAGCTTGACCATCCTCACTTCAGCATGTTCATTATGAATATATTGCAATCTTTTTTGTGACAAGCATAATCATTAGAGAATTTAGCTCAATTGTCTAGCATGTGTATTCAGTCTAGAAATGTCAACTTAAGAGTTATGAATAAGAATTTTAATATAAATTAAAATCATGTGGCAACTTCTGGCTTCTCCCTGGGGCATAGGGAGCTGAAAAGAGTCTTGTTCCTACCCAAAACAAGAGTGGGTTTGATAATTTACAGGTTACTGGCTTTTGAGACCCAGAGAAGTTGAAGGTGGGCTGTCATACCGGGAGAGAGGGATATGTCAGCTACCTTTTGGGTTTTGTTGAGACAAGATTTCTCAGTGTAGCTCTGGCTGTCTTGGAACTCACTATGTAGACCAGGCTAGCCTTGAACTTAGAGATCCTCTTGCCTCTGCCTCCCTGATTTCTGGGATTAAAGGTGTGTTGGGCAAGTCAACCACATTTTAAGACAGAGTCTCACATAGCTCAGACTAGCCTCAAATTCACTGTGTAGTGAAGAGTGACCTTGAACTCCAGATCTTTCTGCCTCTGCCTTAGAGGCACCGGCTTGGATTACAGGTGTATGTCATTCCTAGCTACCAGTTACATTTTAAAGTTATTTATTCTTTTATCTTTTATTCTTTTTATCTGGTATGCACATGCCATGACACATACAGCTTGAGATAGATAGCAGGTATAAACAGTAGAGGAATTGCAGAAGAGGGAATTGGATGTTATAATGAATGCTAGAAATACAAATAACATAAATTAGGTTGTATTAGGGCTTATCAGACTTGACATGGTTGAGGAATCAGTGAACTTGAAGATAGACTAATAAAAATCACCCAAGTAGAAAACAGAAAGAAAAGGGAGGAGAAGAGCAGAGCATCTGGAAACTATGTACAACACAGTATCTGTTTTAAGTGGTAACACTGTAGATGAGATCACTGAGATGTGAGTCAGTTGGGATGAGATGGATGGATGTGATTAGGATTCCACTTTTCATATGGAGACATCTTTATTTACTGCCAGCCAGCCGAAATGAATGAACTATGTATCAAGTGAAGTATCTTGTGTGTGTTTTTCAAGACAGAGTAGCCCTGGCTGTCCTGCATCTCACTCTAGACCAGGCTGGGAGTAAAGGTGTGAGCCACTACCACCCAGTGGTATTTTGAGTCTTAAAACCAGCTTATATATTGATCGATGGATGTAGTTAGAAGACCCCTTATTTCCCTAGGAGCCTTGACAAGGAATATTTTAATGGATGCAGGGATGAAAACCTAATTTGAATCAAGAAGCATAGGAAGAGAAGAAAAATGAATAGACAAATTATAGAATGAATAGACAGCTCCCTCAAGTTTAAAGTGTGTGTGTGTGTGTATTTATTAACTTTTACTTAGAGTTTGTTTGCGAATGCCACATCACACATGTAGAAGGAGGCCAGAAGACACAGGGTCGGTCCCCTGGAACTGTAGTTATAGGTGATTTTGAGCCCCCGTGTAGAGGCTAGAAACTGAAACTAAATCTCCTGCAAGAGCGGTGAGCTCTTTCAATCTCTGATTTGTTTCTGTTGGTTCCTTGAGACAAGGTTTCCTGACTGTCTGGAACTCACCCTGTAGCTCAGGTCGGCTTCAAACTCACAGAGATCCACTGCCTCTGCCTCCCAAGTGCTGGGATTAAAGTTGTGCACCACTACCACCTGACTGAGAAGTTTTATTTATTTTGTGGTAGGTAAGGCACACTGCCACAGCACATTTATGGAGATCAGATGACAGTTTATGGGAGTTGGTTCTCTTTCTTTCCTGTGGGCCCTGCGGATTGAACCCAGGTCATTAGGCCTGGTGGCATTGCTTTACCTGTGGACCACCTCGTTGCCTTTCTTCGAGTTCTCACAAAGGAGCTAAGAAATGACTCTTGTCTGGGTTATAGAGTCATTTATTCACTCAGCCCCCCTCCTCCTCTTCCCACCTCTTTTCCTTCTTCCCTTTCCCTTCTCCCCTCTTCTTCCCCTCCCCCCACTCTCTTCCCCTCTCCTCCCCCTTTTCAGTGATTTGAACCCAGGCCCTCAGGTGTTGGGCAAGCACTCTATCACTGAGCTACATCTTTAGTCCCAGAAGTTTTGTTTTCATTACTTGCTTGCTTTGGTTTTTTGTTTGTTTTTTGACATAAAAGTATTCCTCTGTTGCCCAGATGGACCTCAAACTGGTGACCCTTCTGTCTCTGCCTGTAAGTACTAAGATAACAGCTAAATATTTTATTTGTGTGTGTGTGGGGGGGGGTCTGTGTGTGAGTCTGAATGTGTGTGCACAGGTGCCAATGGAGGCTGGAAGTGAGAATTGGATCCCTACATCTAGAGTCAGAGGTTGTGAGCCTAACATGGTTCTGTCACCATACTTTCTCTGCCATGAGGTTCTGTATCCCAAGAACTGTAAAGCTAAATAAACCCTTTGTTTGCCCTTAATTGCTTCTTGGTGGGTATTTTGTCACAACAACAAGGCCATTCTCAGCTGCATATTGAATTTGAGGCCAACCTGGCCTATATAAAACCTTGTCTCAGAAAAAAAGATAAAATAAAAGGTATGGCAGGCTTTGGAATAACTGGTTTTTGAGGTGGCATACAACCTCTGCTAGAGCTGTCTTCATGTTCTGTTTTGTTGTTGAGTCTAAGATTCACCATATATCCCTGGCTGGCCCTGGACTCAGATCTGACTGCCTCTGCCTTCCAAGTGCTGGGATTAAAGGCCTGTGCCTGCCCCAAACAAATATTCTTAACCCCTGAGCTATCTCACCAGCCTTCTTCGTTTCCAGTTTTGTTTCTTTGAGTAGGGTCTCTCTTCATAGCCCTGGTTGTTCTGAAACTCATTAAGATGAGGCTGGCCTCTAACTCATGGAGTTGGAGTTTTTGTTTTGTTTTTAGGAAGAACTGGTATTTCTTATTCAGGGATGCTTTTTTTTTCTTCATAATTAAAATTTTTCTTTGTTGATTGTGTGCTTTTAGTCAGGGTCTCACTGTCCTGCAGTCTGGCATACAGGCAGGCTGGCCTTAATCTGCCTCCCAGTGCTAGAAAGGCAAGTACCACCATGTCTGGCTCAGTCATTTTTGTAAGTTAAGGCTTCAGGTTAATGTAAAGTAGTGGGCTTCATTATGGCATTTTCTTACATATGTGTCATTATACTTTATTCTCATTTGTTCTCTTCCCCCAGTGCCCCATGCCATACCTCCCCACCTCTGGCTGGTTCCCTTCTTTCCTCCAGTTAGCCTCCCCTGTAGCTTTCTTATTCCTCTCTATACCCTGCTTAAGATCTCTTCCTGCCCTCTCATGGTCAATTTTCTAAGCCCCCTCCCCCCTACACACACATACACACTCACATTCACTCTTTCTCATTTTTAGTGTGCCCGTGTACTTGTCTGTCTCTTAAATGTAGTCTCTGCATATGAGAGAAAAAAGGTTTATTTTTCTAAGTCTGATATTTTTGCTTAATGTTTGATTGATTTCTAGTTTCATCCATTTGCCTGTAAAGGTCATGCTTTCATTTCCTTTGTGGCTGAATAACATTTTACAGTGTGTATACGTACCATATTTCTTTATTAATTCTCTGCTG